ACATACCCTGAAAACTCACTCTAGCTGAGGATGCAGGTAAGGAGAGGTAATTTACCTCACAGAGGTAAACTGACTTATGAACTAAATGCTCAAAATATCAGCGTACTTCAATAGCTTCAGATAGGCAGGCTGGTTTAACAGTAGATCGCAAAAGAGCCGAACAGGGCAGGGGAGGAAGCAACTAACCCGTCTGGTAACTGGTGTCACCTAGTGGGTGTTTTATCTTGTTTTGTTTGTTTGGGGGGGGGGTTGTTTTGTTTTGTTGGTTTTTGAGACAGGGTTTCTCTGTGTAGCCCTGGTTGTCTTGGAATTTGCTCTGTAGACCAGGCTGGCCTTGAACTCACAGAGATATACCTGCCTCTGCTCCTGAATGCTAGGATTAAAGGCATGAGCCACCACAGCCCTGTACATAGTGGTTTTTTTACATGTTGATTTTTAATAGTAATGTTGTTGCTCTGATTGTCAGTGAGAGCTCATCTACCTCAAAAGGCTCCCGTATTAATTAAGGCTACTCTGATGGGTACCTAGACATCCCGCTGACCAGAGTCAAACAGGATCACAGGAGATAAAGAGAAAAGAATTGAAAAGTACCCAGTGCCCTGATGATCTGAGAGAAACAAATAGGCAAAGAGGACCCTAGAAGCTGAGGTGGGAGGATGAGGAAGGGTACAGTGGAATTCAGGAAGTCTGAAGTGAAAGCCAGCTAAGTGAAACTTACAGCCTTGGGAGGCTGGGGAGAGATGGTCAGAGGCATTCACCCGGGATACTGGAGGAAACCCTCACACTATGAAAAAGTTCCTGTTTCCTCATGGACCAGGAGACGTGGGCAAGGGCCTTAGTTTTGGTCTGTGAAAGAAACCATGAGAGAACTAAAGAGAGAGCTTCTTAAAGGGGATCAATTGAGAGGCGACTGAGGAGTATTTGACTTGCCTCCTAAGCAAGAGTACAGACTCCTTGCACAGTCAGCAGGCGCTGACTGGACACAGGACATGCCCTAAGAAGGCTTCATCACCCTGGGAACATTCTGGCTACTTTCAGGGCCATGGTATGTGACTGTAAGATCATAGCTGAGGTTGAGGATCCAGGATCTGGTCTGCAACCCTGTATTCAGGGACTGTAAAGGCAAGATGTACTTTCTCACACATGACGGGGTTAGAGTAAGAATTTAAATGAGTCATTTCTCATCTCTGGGCTGGAATTTCCTCCTCCACAGGCTGACAGAAAACTCATGAAGTCGTTAAAGAGTTAAATTAAGAGTTCAGGTGTCAACATGCTTTGATACTGGTTTAACTGCTTTCCACCTCAGCCATTATCCTTTGTTTATCTGCATCTTCCTTAATAATCTGGGTCACGGGAATGCCTAGTGCTTCTGCATCATTTGGTGGAGACACATCCCAGACTTCTCTTAAGCCATGAGCAGCACCCCAGTGACCTCAGAGTCCCTTTGGAAAAACTGGGGCTGCACCTTGTGTGGCAGAGAGCTCTCTTGCGGGTTATGAGGGACTCAGCTGGGTTCTCTTTCACAAGTATGAAAAGCAGCCATTAAAAATGTCTTCCAGATTCACCAGGGATGTAAGGAGATTGTGTTGTGGAGTTGTGAGCATGGCGATTTTCAGAGTAGCTACACCAAGATTAGGAAGTTTGGTCAACAGCCAGTGCCAGGCGGTTAAGGTCAGAACATCCTGCTGGCTGCGTGGAAGGAGGCAGGACAAACGAGAGTGCCGGTGATCCTTCTAGAAAACTCATCTTCAGCTGCAGTGTCTTCACCGTAAGGTCATTTAGCGGCAACAGGTGCTCTGTTCTAATCAAAGCCCTCCTCGTGAATAGAGTTGGCATGGAATGCCCACAAGAGAGCCTGGTGCCACGGAGTCCATTTCACTTCCCTGGCACCCATGGACCAGCACTGAGGAGTGGCTGCAGACCCAAACACTTCTAACAAAGACAGCAAAGGTGAAAGGAGGCTGGGTCCTAAGGACTCTCCCCAGCAAAGCCCTGGGCTACTTCCAAGACAAAGTCCAGTGGGTGGGAGGCGGAAATGGAGCCCTCTTCCTCCCCTGCAGTAGACAGAGGGGCCACTGAACCCAGTCACTGAGGACAGGCTGAGTCAGGAGCCTGTGTTCTGGTCCTAACATTGCCCATAGGCAGCTGTATAACTCTTAGGTGGGTCACTTAATCTGTGTCTCAGTTTCCATATCTTTCAAAGGGGAATAAGAAAGTGGCTTCCTCATAGCATTGCTAGGATAAACAAAGACACAAAGTGGAATCATCATGTAAAAACCTGTGGAAATTTGTTTCGTTTTAATTCATACAAAATATTATTTAGTAATGAGGTGCTAAAAATATCTGATATCCTCAAACTTCATACCTTTTATTCTGCCCAACTGCAGCTTACAAGTAATGAAACTCCTTCCAAATGGAAGCACCTTTGCTTAGGGCAGCAGCCTCTCTACGACCCAATGCTCCCTGTGGCCCACGGTAACAGGCCCTTTTCTGGGAGCCTCAGACACGATGCCTTAGAAACACATCTTTGAAAATGTCAGACCATCCTCCTGACCTTTGCCCCAAACCTCAACATGGGCCTCAAGTCATGACGACCAAGTCATGACAGTTCAGAATAAGAAGTTACAGTTCCCAGAGTCTTCAGTAAACCTTCGCCAACCTGCGGCCACCCAGAATGACCCCAGTGTCCCCTTGTTACTCAAGAGAGCCCTAACGCCACTCACACAGGCAACATAGTCTCTGTGCTTAAACGCAGTTCCCTCCCTCCCTCCATGCTGTGTATAAGAACACGGCCGTACCCCACCCAGTGAGAAGCAGTGCTTCCTGCGTGGCTTTCCCACCACTCAAGCACTAGCAAGTCCCAGGCTTCCTGTCGAACTCTGGACACTGAAAATGGCTGCCTTGGCTCATCTTCTAATGTGGTTTCCATGGGAGAGCATCAGCAATTCAAAACAACACCCCCCTCCCTTCCAGTATGTTCTTTATCCTATGCTCCCATTCCCAAGACCAAGACAGACCTGAGCCAAAGGACTTTCTCTGTCTCACCCCCTGTAATCCACCAGATACTGAATTCAAAGCTCTTGTCATCTGATAGTCCTTGAAATCTTGGCTTCCTCTTCCTTCCATGGCTAATTACCTCATGCAACTTTTCTCCTCCACACTATTCTGGTCTCTCTTACCACTGATCTCTAGTTGAAGTGACCTTTCAAATTTAATTCAAGCCATATCCCTCCTAGCTGAAAAATCCTTCCGTCAACTACCCCATCCCCAATACTGAATCCCAATTCCAAGCATCATAGGTGAAGCCTTCCAATCACTCCCATTCCCAGGTGCACTCCTGTTCCTGTCAAGCCAATTCATCTGAAACCCGTAAGAAAGCCCCGGGCTTTCTTTTAACTTCGACCTTCCAAGATTGCCATTCCTTCCGCTATATCCTTTCTCCCTCGACTAGCCCAACTTCTTCACATCTTAGTGTAAAATAAACTTCCATGAGGTCTCCTGTGAGCAGCCTCCTCTCCCAGAGGTAAGTCACACCTCAATGACTGCTGTAGTGTTCCATCGTAACTTACTGTTGGTGAATGTTTATCTCTCACCAGACAGCAGCTCTACACTGAGATGGACCACCTTACACACCAGTATGTATTGAGCACCTACAACATTTGAAATTCTAGGACATATGTGTGCATTTGTGTGAATGTGTATAAAATGTTAACATCAAATGAATAAATAAATGTATGAATTCGATGGCCCATATATAAGTAGTTAAACAACTAAGATCTACAAAGGGCTTATTTATGGCACCTGTAGACCAACCCGTTTTCAACAGGGTAGGTAGGACAGAACAGGACAGGCACAGACAGAAGGCTACTAGTATCAGAGGCCTTCCCAGTCTGAGCGTCACCAGAAGCTTCCAGTCAGCATTTCATTTCTGCCACTGCTTCCTTTTCTAAACTCTTCTCAAAGACAGTGAGACAGCTTGTCTAAGCAGCAGTGCTGGAGAAATGAGAGACTGCACCTGGAGCAACTAGCAGAACCAGGCTGCAAGCCAAGGGATACCGAGGGGCCGGTGGGCAAGCTTGGAGTTATAGACTCCACCAGAGGGATACCGAGGGGCCGGTGGGCAAGCTTGGAGTTATAGACTCCAAACTAGGGCTTTAGAGACAGAACTTGGGGAAGGACCAGGAAGACAGGCAGGCAATCAAAGGAACAGGGCCCTGGGGTAGAGAACATGGCACAGTGCTGAGAGTCCAGCTAGAAGGAAGACAGTGGAAAGGAAAAGAACACAGGAGGTAGCCAGCTCAGGAGTTGTGTGGGGCTGAGTCACTGCCAAGACCAATGAATGCCCCTAGCAAATGAGAAGGTGACCAGAACAAGAGGACTCTGATAGCTCATCTTCAAAGGATCTCCATATCTATAGGTGCTCAACTGTCTCTGCAAGGACATCTCTGCAGACCATGTACCAGCCCATTCCACTGGATCTAATTGTAAAGCCAATAACTTCGGGTAGTGGGGAGCCACATAAAATATCCTCCCCCATTTACATTGAAAAAGCATAAAAGCTGTGCATTGGGTTCTTAAGTAAAGCTCAGCTCTTCTGGCAGGCATAGGGCCCTAGGCTTCATTTTCCTTAGCTACTTGGTGGTGATGCCCACCTTAGACAGCCATTAGGAAGGCAAAGTTAGATCACGATCATAAAGTACCACACACCATTCTGACCACAGCAAACTCCTTCCCATCCCCTTCCCTCTCCACTCTAAAGGAAGAGGAGCAGGCCCGTGTGGGAGTGTGAGAGATGGGGAAAGACCTACACTGCTGACTCAGGAGGGAATAAGGCATGAGTCAGGATTGGGCAGCATCCAGGGATGGACCATCCAGGGATGGAGCATCAGGGATGGAGCATCAGGGATGGAACAGGGACACACCTCCCTCACGCCATCACCCTCATGCAGGTGCCTGGTGTCTGGGCTGACAGCAAGCCCCATGCTAGGCTAGGTTAGTACCTTTCTCACCACATTTGGAGAGGAGTGCTGGGGGGTGCTGTCCACTGGGGGGACACTGTGAGGAGTTTCTTCCCCCGATGTCTGAGACAAGGCGGCCGCCGAATTCTTGTCAAGGGGTAGAGCTGGCTTTGGGCCCTCAGATGCTGGTGGCTCCTCTGTAACCTAGAAAAGAAATAAGGACCTTGGATGGGTTTCCCACAGAGAGCAGCAGCAGGGGCTAAGGCCCACTGAGCCTTGCCCATGTCACTGTTTACACACCATAATAGATTAAGTTTTTCTCAAGAAGAAAAATAATCTTGGGTTGGGGAAATGACAGAGTCAGTAGGGGTGCCTGGCATACAAGCCGAAGACCTGAGTTCAGAGTCCCAGCATGCACATAGAACTTGGGGTGAAGCACTGCCTACATCCCCCAGAGCTGAGGTAGTGGGCAGAGAAGGGCTCACTGGCCAGCTACCCTCGCCAATCTGTGAGCTCTCAATTTAATGAGAGAGCCTGTCTTAAAGACTAAGGCAGAGCATTACCAAGGAAGATAGCTTGCCTCTATGCGCACATGCACACAAATGCATGTGCACCCTCATGTATACCGCCCAGACATCTATATACCCACACAAACGTGTGCATACAATACACACACACACACACACACACACACACATCTAAACTCTTCCTGAAACTGTATCTTAACACCATAGTCTTAGGATAGAGCCCAAACCAAGACTTCTGAGCTAACTCTGTGATATTCACATTAACAATTATAACATGTGGTTTTTGTTTGTTTGGCTGGTTGGCTGGCTAGTTGGGTAGCTGGTTGGTTAGTTTGGCTTTGATCTGAGTTTATTTCATTATTGCTATTGTTACAGTGTTAGGAATCAAACCAAGGGTCTTGTGCATGGTAGCAAGCACTCAACCTACCATTGAGACACCCTCAAATCTGTAACAGTTTATACTAATACTTAGCTGTGGTCCTCTATGAACACTGGATTCTGTTCTGCCATCATGGGGACTACTTTACATCTCTTCAAAGGAACTGAGCCTCAGGAGATGATGCCTGAAGCATTATCTAAAGTCATCCATGATGACCCATGAATATGAAGCCTTATGTTTTATAATAAAAGTGTCTGGAGCCTCTTTGAAGATGTGTAATCATAGATTTAAAGGAGACACCACTGTGGAAAACGTGAGAAGGGATGGGGAAATAGGCTGGGACAAAAGATCTAGAAAAAAGGAAAATCAGGAACTATGAATAAGATGTGGAACAGCAAAGATCCAAAGATGCAAATGCACGCAATCATCTTAAACAAGAAAAGAGGGAATCAGCATTCAGTACTCCAATATTCCCTAAGCCGAGATCAGAGCCTCTTCTGTGGCCTTAGAGACAAATCGTCAGACCTGGGCCCTGGTCTTAGCTCCTCTTCTCAACACTGTACGGTCTCTAGGCAAACTGCTTGCCTCCAGCAACCTCACCGCACCTACAAGCTACAGATGGCACCACCTACAGAACACAGCTGTTGGTGTGGTATTCTGTATGTGTACATAAAACATATGTAGCTTTGCAGACATAAGATAAAGTTGAAATCTTCCCTGGAGTGCTGTAAAAGTGCCAACAACAAGGTCTAATGCCACCTTCACTCTACTCCTTGAGCTCTCCCAATTCCCTACCAGGTATGCCTAAGTTCCCAGCAAGGGAGTTTGAAAGGCTGCACAGATAGGAGAGATTGCCTGCCTTATCCTGGCCCTGGAAGGGGTCTAGCAACACTCTGATGGTACCGTCTATTGGGCTTGAGTAACATTGGTGCTCTCCGTGAATACATGAGAACCTGAGTTCAATCCTCCAGAACCCACATGAAAAAGCCAAGACTATCAGTGGAGACAGGTGGATCCCTGGGGCTTGCTGGCCAGCCAGCGGAGCCAAACTGGTGAGCTCCAAGTTCAGGAAGAGACTCTGTTTCCCCCAAAAAAGGTGGAAAGCAACAGAGGAAGATGCCCAACATCAACCTCTAGCTTCTACGTGGATTAACTCACTCTCCTCTCTCTCTTTTCTCCTCTCCTCTCTACCCCCCAGTACCTTTATGTTTTCAAATGTACTATCTATAGACAAAATCCCCAATGTCACCCCAGGGCATAGGGCTAAGCCAGGCCACTCTAAAGAACACTGAGCCCAGATAACTACAGAGACCATGTACTATATCCTCCACAGCTTTGCTGAGCGTGGAGATCAGGGCTAATGTCAGGGCTTAGACCACACTAAGATGAAGGAACCAGATGTTATATGCCCTGAGAAGTCCTGGGATGACAGCTCACCTGCAGGGTATCCTCCTGGCTCTGGGTCTGGACAGGTGCTGGCTGCCTCACGATGTAGTTGATCTGCCCCACGATGGTTTGCTGAAGATGCTGAGGAGACTTGGTCTGACTCAGCTGAAGGCTGGGCTGCTGAGCCTGCAGGAGAAGTTCCAAGTCCTTCTGCATCTCCTCCAGCTCAAACTTGTGGTGCATAATGTCCACGTTCTGTGAACAGGCAGGCCCAGGAGGGCTCTCATGCTGACTGGAAGCTAGGTGCTGGGAGGGAGGCAAGGGTGCGGGTGCATGCTGGGTGGGTGGAGGGGGTGGAGGAGGGGGTGGTGGCTGCTGCTGTGGCTGCTGTTGAAAGTGGCTGAGCTTCAGCTTCTGGTGGTGGCCCAGCTGAACTTGGATGGAGGGTGTCTGTATGGTGGGCTGGGCATGAGCTCCCGACTGAACGTCTTGCGGAGGGACGATGCACACAGGCTGGGAAATCAGCTGCTGTCCTGGCCGCTGGGATGTACTCTCCTGTTCTGCGGGAGGCGGTGGTGGTTCTAGCCAGGGCTGCAGCAGCTTTGGTGGATGAGGACTGCAGCCTAGCTCTTTCTCCCGGGGCAGCAGGGTGGAACACTGCAGTGACCCCAGCTGGTGGGACACCATTTCAGAGGGCTGCCGGAAACTGTGAGCTGGGTGGATACTGGGTGGGGCGACCTGGCCTTTGAGGGAAGGTGAGACTGGGGAGCAGTGGGAACAGCAGACAGACGAGGAGCACAGTGCTGGAGGCTGGAACTTGTGTGAGGGGTGGCTGAGAGACTCCTGCTGAGCCATGGGGGCCTGGTGGCTCTGATAAAAGGAGGATGGCCCCTGTAAGCTCCCATAAGCAGCCGCAGCATCTGCCCGGGACAGCTGTCCACCCTCAGTGGTTATGCAGCCTGGAGATCAAGAACAGAGAGATTCCCAAAGGTAAGATGCAGCTACTACCGTTCAGCAAACCCAGTCAGCCATGGAGATGAAGAACTTCTAGCCCTGACCTCCAAGACTCTGTCTAGAACGCTGCCAGGAACAACACCTGCAGAAGCTTGCTTTAGGGGGCCATGGATATTTGAGGAATTGGGTCGGCTTTTACTAAATGACCAGCCTTTCTACCCGACTGGGAAATCTACCTGCTCTTTACACTCCTTTTAGTCTAATAACCCAATGGAGACTCACTAAAAGAATGCACATGGGGTTGGGGAGGGGGTGTGCTGGAAAATAGCAAAGGGTACACAGTAAGACTCTAGGTACATATCTGGGAACTGTTGGGCAGTGTGATGGAAGATCCCATGCCAGGTCTGCGCCAGACACCAGCACTGCCCTGGGGTTTCTGGGCCCTGCGGTGAGAACACCATACTGAGTGCTCTCTGTCTACCGCTCCTTCACCCATTGCTCTGATGAAGCTGGCTTAGGAGACTGAGCTCCTTGAAGACAGAGGATGCGTCTGATTCACCTTTGGTCCAGCACCAGGACTCACCCAGGGCAACTGCTGAATTAAAGCAAACAGGAGGGGGCAGCAAAAACTCAATCTGATACTGAGGATATAGTCCATTTGGTAGAGTGCTGGCCTAGCATGTGCAAAGTCCTGGGTTCGATCCCCAGAACCAGGAACTGCACACCTGCAACCCCAGCACTCAAAAGTGGAGGTGGAGCCAAGAGAGAGAGAAGTCCAAGGCCCTCCGTTATTTAGTGAATTGGAAGTCAGCCTAAGCTACATGAGACCTGTCCAGGCAAGTGAGCAAAAACACATCTAGTATCATTGATTTGCCAAGTTCAGCGTTTTCTCAATGCGATTAACAGGCTAGAATCAAAGTGGCAGTGGGTAGTTAGTTCAACAAGCCCATTATGCTGTCAACACAAGCATATCTTCGTGTTGTCTACACTGCGTAGACTGGCTGACAGAAATTACAGCAGAGAAGAAAAGATGCACAAGGCCATTAATCTTCTGTCTGCACCTGAGCCCAGAGGAGGAGTGGGTAGCTTGTACCCACACATACATGCCCCGTGTCACCACACAGACATGTTCACCTGAACTGCCATACAGCACTCAGAAGAGGAGGGTTACTGTCTCGTCACCTCTCCAGCAATGAAGCCGAGTAAAAGGAGCAACACTCATGCAGAACAGGGAGCTAATGTTTCAGATGGTGCTGAGTCCCACACTGCCATTATTTGGCCCATCCTCCCCACCTCTACTCAAGAGAAGGTTTGATGGCTGACTCCATGATCACTGGCAGTCTCTGAGAGCACTTTCTCTTGGGCAGATGCTGGCCCATCTAGAAAGCGCAGCAGATTGCCTATACTTATTCTTAGCTGACAGGCCAAAGGCCACAGCTCACCAAGGGAAGCCAGCTGCTTGGTCCAGAAGTTGGGCTCCCAGGTGAATCTGATACTCCAAGGAGAGCCAGGATCGGTGTTACAACTCGTCTCCAGCAGCCGCTGCATCTGGAACACAATCTGACAACAGTACCATTTATTTGGGCATCTGCCTGCGTGGCAAGTCCTACTTTCCAGTGTTTTGGGCAGGTTAAAGGGCCCCAATCTGTGTCCCTCGGACCTCTGGTCATCCTCCATAGTCTCAGTTCTCTGTCCCCTTCCAATCTTCCCAGCCAATGATCTTCCTCTTCCCTGGGCTCTGGAACCCTACATCTGTATCTCTTCTAGGCCTCAAGTGAGCCCCAGTCATCCTACCATCACCTCCTTTAAAAGCTGTGCAGACCTCAGAGCTGGCCAATGCCCTCCTCCCGACAGCATGTAAAGCCCCTTCCATCCTCCCCAGATGCCAGCTTCCTCTGCCAGGGCTCTCATCTACTGCCTTTCACCATGCTCCCACCACTCCGGGCTTTGCCAAGTATCCAATCACACCCTGCCATCATCTGGTTCTAGGTAACTAATGGCCCAAGCGACATCTTGACCTCTTAAGTCCTTGATTTTTTTTTTTCAGTTTGGTTTGTTTTGGAAACAGGGTCTCACATATTCCAGGTCTTCTTCAAATCTATTACATAACCAAGAATGGCTTTGAACTTCTCATCTCCTGCATGCACCACCACAGCTGGATTATGGAGTACTAGGAATCAAAACCCAGGGCTTTGCACATGCTAGGTAAATACTCTACAATTGAGCTACATCCCCAGTTCCCATTTTTTATTCCTTTTGTTTGTTTTATTAGATTATATTTTAATTACAAAATTTCTCCCTTCCCTTTTCTCCCTCCAGATCTTCCCATGTACCCCTTCCTGCTCTCCTTCAAATTCATGGCTTCTTTTTTCATTGTTATTGCATGCATGTATGTATTTGTATATACATATATATTCCCAAATACAACCTGTTAAGTCCATATAATGTTACTTACACCATTATTGATTTCTTTAATGTCAATCAACTTCCACCTGTTTTCAGCTCAGTCCCTACACCTACATCCCATTCATCATCTGGACTCATTCTAATCATAAGGTCAAACTCCTTCAACCTAATTCTTGATTATAAGGTGCTCCTACTTTCCTGGGACATGCTCTTCAATATCACTGAACTCTTCTAGTGCTACTCCAGTGGTTCACAGTCTTCCCAGTTGCCCATCATCTTCAGGTCCCATGTCTCTAGTGCCCTAAGTTTCTCCCCACCACCAATTCCTAACTTGAGGTTAATCCAGCTATGCTAAAGCCTTGTTATTCAGCTATGTTCTCTAAGGCCACGTAGGTGAACACTAGCTTCAGGGGCTCCCTTGGAAGGTTCCTTCAGCCTCCCTTTTAGTTACTTCCTTTATCACCCTCCTCTTCCACTGCTAGGTCTTCCCTCTGCCATTTCACCCAAACTCTAACCTTCTTATTGTCTACGACTTTGTAGTTTGCAGAGGATAAGAGACCATAAAAAGCAAATGCTCTAGGAACTGAGGATGTAGCTCAGTTAGTAGTGTTTGCCTAGTATACAGGAAGCCCTAGGTCCAACACCCAGTACCACATAAACCCAGCATAGTGATGGTGCGTGCCTGTAATACCAGCATTTAGGGGAATCAAGTCATCCTGGGCTACATAGTGAGTTTGAGGCCAGGCTGGATCCTGTCTTAGAAATGACAAAAATCCAAACTCTCCAAACACAGATTCCCTTTACTTTGTACACTGAACTATATGCATCGCCCTTCTCCGAGGCCAGGCACCCTCTGGATCTCACTCTACCAGCTTTCCCGGGGTGCTCACTCCACCCACCCCTCTCTATTTTACTGTCAACCTCTCTCCCATAGGGAAGCACAAATGTCTGCCAGACTTAATAAAGAAAAGAAAGTCTCCTCCAGCTCTGCTTCATTCACAATTACTGGTCCCTTCTCACATCTACCTCTGCCCTCGCCTCTGTGCTCACACTCATCTGGCTTCTATCTTCCTGCTCCACTGGAACTCCCTTGTAAGGTCACCAGGGACCTGTGGATGGCTGGGCTTGTAGTCCGGTCAGCAGACTTCAGTTTGAACTCCGCTGGCGTGTGCACACTCTACTTCCTTGCCTCTCCTCTACACTCTAGCTGTGCTTCTCAGTCTTCTCTGTCTTCTCCCCTCTGGAGGAATAATGGCATTCCCTGGTTGCAGATTTGCTCTCCTCTCTCCACAGTGCTCCCATGGTGACTGTCCCAGTAATGCCACCTCTTAATCTCCAGCTCTGACCCTTCTGACATCCAAACCCATCTATCAAACTAGCTTTTTGGACATCTCTTTCTAGATGCCCTCCAGGCACCTTAGAGTCAATACAACCATCTCTCAAAACCCACCCTCCCCCAGCCCAGTGTGTTGTACTCAGAGGAAAGAGACAGGAAGGTCTCAAGTTTGAAGCCTGCATGAGCTACCTAGCAAGACCCTGTCAGAAAATGAAACCAACACTTCCTTCTAGGAACCAGTGATTCTCATGAGCCCAAGATGTCAAAATCTTCTTCAACCCCTGTTTTTCTCCGGATCTCCCACTTGGCACCCAGTAACTAATTTTCCGTGAGATCTCTGAACACTGCCTGTGCCCAGGACAATATGTGAATGCACGAAAACAACAGGCGTTCCTCGTTGCATTAGCAAGATCATTTCTGCACCTGGGTCCCTTGTGCTATAGGATTTGGTAGAACATGACATTCACTTACTAATCCAAAACCATGGCTGGGTCTGAAGAACTCAGGACCTGCTGTCTTACTCTTCTTCCCTCCTAAAAACATGCACTTCCAAGGGTAATCTCTCCCATTGTGATACAGGCTCTGTTCTGATCTGTTTTCAGACTAGCTGAAGGGACCAGCTTCCTCTTACCAGTTCTTTGCTGAAAAGGAACGGGACGCTGGTTTTGCTGCAGACAGCCCAGTTGATGAAGTTCTGCACATGTTCAAACTGACGGTTGAGAACCATGATGCTCTGTAACTGCTGCTCCAGCTTCCGCTTTCTCTCGTTAGTAATGCCCTGGTGCACAGAGAAAAGACAGAGTCCCTGGTGCTGTTCATGGACCTATCTGGGAAGTCTAGTGGCCATTGTGTATCAGTATGAACACTGATGGCCTCAGATAAGAGAACTTCTGAAAACAGCCTTGAGCTGTTTGCTGATGGACAGAGAAAAGGAGAAAAGAGGGTGAGAGATTTTACAGTACAAATGTGGAATGGTGATAAATGGAAAAACATGAATGAATGAATGTCTACATCTCTTGCATACAACTTTCTGAAGAAGGTGTAATTAGACTCTGTTTTAAGACTTCCCTGACGTAGTTAAGAATGGCAGCTACCTGAGAGACATTGCATCAGTGAGAGGTTGAACTCGTTTTCCAGCCCTTAACAAGCCACTCTCCCAAAATTAGACTAGAAATTTTGAAATACAGCATGCAACAAAATGCTGCAAAGATTGCATATCTGAATCCTAGCTCTGGCTTCTGACCCAGGAAAGCACAGACTATATCACCTGATCCATCTGCATACACATACCTCAAGCTCCTCTATGAGTCCATTGGCCTGTTTGTTCAGCTCATTCATGAGGACCATCTTGGCCATTTTGATCTGGTTTTCCACCTTCCTATGCTGATGTTTCACTTCAAAAATCCTGGAGACATGATGGGACAAACACAGTGATCCCTCTCTGTTTGCTGGGAGACAGCAAACAGAAAGGCTGACAACTTGGAAGTTGCCTTGAGATGAGGGCCAAATAGGCATCAGAGAAAAAGAGGCCTATCTCAGACCCATTCAGTATCTCTCCCAGACCCCTTGATCTAACTTGGCTTCCTCTAGGAAACCCCAAGTCCACAGCCAGGTTCAGCCAGTAGCTCACCAGGTGGCATAGTACTGTGGGATATATGGATATGATTGCATATGATATATTGTCCAAAAGGAAGATGCTCCAAGAAGAGGGAAAGAGAGCGTGGGTACAGAGACTGTGGCTTGTGAGGACTGAGGAGCGTGGGAAGTGGAGGGAAGTGATCAATAACATATAAGGGTTTCATCACTTTTAGGGGTGATGAAAATGTTTAATCACACAGTTCTGTAAAATGCCAAAAACTAATGAATTACATATTTTAAAGGCTTTATTTTATTATATCTCATTAAAAATATTTAAAAGCGAAAGGTTATGGGCTTTGAAGTCACTACAGCCCTAGCTTCCAATTTGATTAGCCATGTTAACACAGATAAGTCACCTAACCTCTCTGAACTTCTGCCTCCTCATCAATAAAATGGAGATAAGCCTTGACTGGAGGAATTATAATAACTGAACAAAGTAGTGCATGTTTCCCAACCCACTGGGTCCCGGTTCCTAGCTCCTGCTATACAAAATGCCAGTGATACCATGCCACTTAACTTATTTATATGGGAAACAAGAATAGACAGATTATGACTAATTTGTTGCTATCCCACAATAAACAGCAATTTCTTCTCTGGAAGCTACTTACTCTGTACCCTTGTTCTCAGGTACCCACTTCTGGATAATTCATAAAGCACAGAACTTTGGCCCAGACTCACTCTGATCATCCTACAGTAGTAGCCTGGCCCTAGTTATCAACTGGTACCCCAAAGACACCTCACTGGCACTGTGACCTCTGAGGAATGGACACACGCACTTATCTGCCTAACTGCATCCCCCTCCATGGACCTGCTAGGGGCTGGTACCCAAGCCCAGGAGGCAAGAGAGCAGAGCATTTTCAGCACTAGCAAGATCTGCCCTAGGCTACCTGTCCTCGATTTGCTTCGCAGATGTCTGCAGGCTGGACTTCTTATGTGCCACCTGTGTGGTCACGCTTTCTAGAAGCATCCTCTGGTTTTGTAGAACTTCTTCAACATGTCTGCACCTAAGGGAGGAGACAAAGCAAGAGCTGAGGATGGATGGTGCCCAGGAATCTCCATGGTGCACTGTCTCAGCCTCAGAGGCCAGGATTACACACTGAGAGACAAAGGCATGCAAGTCTCTTGGTCCATAGAGAAGAGAAATGCCTCCGCCCAGCCGCTGCAGGTTGGCTTGGGCAGGGGGAGAGGGTTTTTTTTTTTTTTTTCTTGAGACAGCATCACTATGTAAGCAAGTTATCCTCTGATTCATTATGTAGCCTGGGCTGTCCCCTAAACTCACCATCATCCTACCCCAGCCTCCCAACTGTTGGGATTACAATTGAATGTCGCCATCCCCTGCTTCCGGGAGGGGGCTTTGACACCTCAGCAGGCCAGAGCTCACAAAAAAGCAATGCAGAGCCTCCCAGCCCACTCCGCCAGTCCACCAGTCCCACCTGTGCTCTTTGTGTTCCACCATTAGGCAGCTGTGGCATGTGAGCACATCACATGTCTCGCAGAAGAGCTTGAGCACTTCCTGTGTGTGCAGAGGGCAGTACAAGGCGAAGTCCCCAGAGCCACCATTCACCCCTGCCAGAGAAGACAGAAGATGTGGGCTTCTGTCCATGCAGACCTTTCTGTTCAGCTTTGCCGAGCAGCCCACGGCCCTCAAGGGACATGACACAGACGCAGAGCTTGGGGGAGGAGACGCGGACAGGAGAGGTCTCTCTTGGGAACAGTGAAACTCAGGGCACGGGGAAGAATTCAAGCTTAGCCTGGCTAGATTCGCTCAGCTGTCCAGAAACCTCACACCCTCCAGCCCTAGTGTCCCAGCACCTGCTAGGGGTGGAGAAGGCACTTGCACCTGCTCCAGGTAGATCTCTGGCACAGTGGGAAACCCTCCCAAATGAACCTAAGCCTCTTCACTAACCAGGATTCTGTGTTGATGGGGCTAAAACCAGACTAGTTCACATCTAGTTCATGGGATGAACTCTGCTTCCTGTGGGTCTGATAAACATATCAACACACACACACACACACACACACACACACACACACACACACACACACAGTCAGGGGTCCCAGGAGAAGATTTTCTAAAAGACTGCTGCTTAAAACAGATGGTGCAGGATGGACAAAGGGCAGGAGCGGACCAGACTGTTGAGTCTCTGCGTGTGAGACATACTGCTCTAAACAGGAGTGGAAGGTGGGAGCTCAGCTGGCTTCCATGATTCAAGATCATGCTCCCAGCCCCGGCTCACCCACACTCACCCGCCCCCAGCCCAACCGTGAAAGGCTGGAGTGAGTCACCCCTCTGACTCGGAGGGAGACATTCTTCCTTTGCAAAAGACTCAGAAACCATCCCCACTGTCTCCCTTGGCTGAGAAACGAGGTCAGAAAGCTATTCTCCAGGCACCTGACGGTTCAGCACAGAAGAAAGGTGGGGGGAGGGGCCGGTACCTGAGGATCCCTTCTGTGCCCGCGCAAAGAGTGGGCCCCCCGGGGCCGGGGCATGCCGGTGTTCCTCTGTGCAAGAGCTGCACAGCCAGCGATTGCAGTAGGTGCAGAGAATATGCGCCGCCCGCTTCTCCTTGCACTCAGAGCAGCTCTGGAAGCAGAGAGGCCAAAACTGGTGACCCTACTGTCACTGAGGCTTACAGCTACAAGCAGCAAATGCTCTAGGGACCGGGGTGTTGACGGAATGTTTCCCCAGGACTGAGGAGTAGAATCTACTGGAGGGCTGCCTGGCAAGGTTTGTGCAGGAAAGTACCCTCTGTGACAGAAGGAACAGTGGCTATCCTGTACTAAAGGTAAGGAAACCCAGTAAGCCAAGGCTCCCCCAATCACATATACAGCATGGGCAGGGTGACACCCTTTAAATGGGTAATGCTGTGATTTAAAAATAAATAAATAAAGACAAGTGCTAAGGACACATGCAAAGGGAAGTTCCCAAGAACTAGGCCTAAGAGTGACGGAGACTTTTTCATCAATAGGAAACGTCTAAGTTAACACTGAATGGCAAGTAGGTAGACAGAGGGGACATTACAACAGAGGACAAACTCGAGCAAAAGCTGGGCATTTAATATCTTCAAAGGAAGAAAGGCTAAGATGTCAGAGTACCCAGAGAGATGAGTACATCCATCCACGAGAGAGGCCAGCCTCAGAGCCATACCTCCACCTGAAGTCTGCCCAACTAACACCCCCTCCTCACCTTCAAAAGTTTGGTCATTTCATCAGCAGATATAATGCTAGGTCTGATGGGAAGCATCATGAAATGAGGAGATGTGGGAAAACGATCTATATTCTATGTCTAACTCATGCAAGCTACTAAACTACTATGGGTTCAGAAGGCTTTATGAATTGCCCTATGAATGTCTTAGAAGTAGAACACATGAGTCTGTCTCCTTAGCACTGGTAAGTCCCAGAGGGTAACAGACATTCAGTAAGGATTAGATACAGGAAAAAGGAAATAAAGTAGTAAGTTAATGAGAAGCAGTGACAAGGACATACCAGTAGAGAAACAGAAGGCACAGTCAGTAAGTAATGTAAGATCAGAAACTTGGGGAAACGGTTGAGCTGTTACAGACAAGATTAAAGAGCCCGTTAAATCAAAGCTGGTGTGTAAATCTTCAACTCAGGGGGAAGAAAAAGGGGAAGAAAAGCCTAATGCTGATATTTTCTGTAAGAGCCATGGGGGGGGGGGGACACTGAAATAAATTAAGTAATGCTTAATGTACCTTAAGATACCTTCCCTTTCCACTCAAAGCATGTAATTTTCACCTAGTAGAAAACTATGTTGTTTTCCCTAATTCAAACATTTTTTATTTCCTCCTGGGTGGATGGCTAAATGGATAAGTGGGTGGATGGGTAGATGGATGGGTGGATGAGTGGATGGATGGATGGATGGATGGATGGATGGATGGATGGATGGATGGATGGATGAGTGGATGGATGGATGGATGGATGGATGGATGGATGGATGGATGGATGAGTGGATGGATGGATGGATGGATGGATGGATGGATGGATGGATGGATGGATGAGTGGATGGATGGATGGATGGATGGATGGATGGGTGGATGGGTGGATAGATGGATGGGTAGGTAGGTGGATAGATGGATGGATAGATGGATGGATGGATGGATGGATGGATGGATGGATGGATGGATGGGTAGATGAGTGGATGGATGGGTGGATGGGAAAACTGACGGTGGAGTTACGAGTCAATGACAGGTGGCTAGACCTATAGACAGTGGTCTCATCAATTTCTATAAGCCACCACCTGCCTATTCCCTTGTCCTGACTTACCCTGGCCATTGTGGGTTGCCCAGGAGGAAAGCACTGGAGAAAAATATGTTCAGTTACATCTCTGGTAAGATACACTCGCTGACATGCAGGACAGGAGATGAGCTCTAGAAGGGAAAGACAGACAATGGAGTCAAGGCAACAAAATAATTATACATAAGGCCTAGAAGGAGGCTTTCAAATACCCAGCACCAACATATGGGCAATACCCACTCCTAGCCAAAGTGATCCCTGTTCAATAACACAGCCTGCAGTTAGCATGAACATGACCATCCCACCAGAGGCCAGCCCTACAGACCATCCATCTAGTCTCCTCCCATCCCTGTCTTTACCAAATCTACCCTCCTCTCCTCCCTAGGAGCCAGGCCTCTGCCTTCTGCTGCTCCAGTTCTTCATTCCACAGCCCTGAGGTCCCAGTTCCTGGGCTTGGGAGGGTTAGTGTAGCCCAGAGGACAGCATTAGTCACTAAGGTTACTGTGTTACCCGGATTACTTCAGAGATCTCAAATCTAGAGCTTCCAGGAGTTCTCCAGCAAGAGGAAGAACAGCCTTGCCCCACTGCCTGCTCACATAGGAGGCACTTTTCTATTGGTTTAACCAATACCAATAAGTCTGCTCCTGGGACTCAGATGCCTGTCGCTGGACTGTTTCCACCTGGAGTCTTAGACCATGGTAGGTACACTATACACATCACATCCCAGAAGAATGCAACAGTTTCTAACACATTCCTTAGCATAGTGGGCATCTGAATTACATAAGCAGCAGGAGACTGCCACCCTGGGGACGACAGTGACTCTTCAGACCCACTCTAAAAACAGTCAGACCTCTGGGAATGAGTCTCCTGAGGAGGGCAGGGACCTGTGTCCATGGATAAGGCTGGTGTGAAAAGGAACTGGTGGCAACAGGGCTTGTGGCAACATTGTCACAGTCTTCTCTGCCTTGTTTCATCAACACAGTAATGAATGCTACAGATCAATGCTCTACAGTGCACTCAGGAGAATGCAAGCCCCAACACCAGCCTTGCCACCCAGTGACCTTGGGCAAGCTGCTTTGTCTCAACTGACTCACCTATGCCTATTTCATTATATGTAAAATAGAAAGGGGAAAATGAGAGTTGCTTTGATAGATAGACATGGTGGCACACATCTATAATCGCCAGCACTTGGGAATCTGGGGCAGAAGGCATCACAAGTTCAAAGACAGTGGGGGCTACATAGCAGGACCCTGTCTCAAAAAACCAGGCTGGTGAGCTAACTCAGCAGGGAAAGGTGCTTGCCGCCAAGCCTCAAGAGCTGAGCTCTGTCCTCTGAGTCCATAGGTGGAAGGAAAGAGTCAGTTCTTTCAAGTTGTCCTCTGACCTTTCCGTCTGTGCTGTAGCACATGCAAATGCACACATGCACACACTCCCCACACACAATAGGGCTGCTGTGAGAATTAAATTAGATAATATTTGAGAAAACACAGTTCTCCTTGTATGCTGACTTTGAGTTCAAAATATTTCTCACATCCTATCCATGGTATGATGAAAAGCAGATAGAGTGGTACACTGAGAAACTAGCCATAAATTCTTCCTATCTCTGAAAGAATTCCTTGTCATCTCTTTTGTTTTTTAAAGACAAGCTTCCATTATATAACCCTGGCTGGCCTTGCCCTCACAGAGCTCCTCCTGCCTCTTCCTCCCAAGTACTGGACTGAAGGTGCCTGGCCTCTCTTGTGATCCTACCAATAAAAGGGACTCTTGGGGATGGGGAGATGGCTCAATAGGGAGAAGCAGGGGCAGAACAGACAAGTTCCTGGAGCTCTCTAGCCAGCCAGCCTGACCAAACTTGGTTAGCACCAGGTTCAGTGAGAGATCCTGTCTCAAACCATGAGGTAGAGAGCAACTGAGATGGACACCTGATGTTGACCTGTGATCTTCACATGTGCATGATATCCACACATATATGAACACTGCACACACATGGGGGGAGGGAATAAGGGAAGGGAAGGGAGAAGGGAAGAGGAGAGGAAAGAGAGGAGAGGAGAGGAGAAGAAGAAGAAGAAGAAGAAGAAGAAGAAGAAGAAGAAGAAGAAGAAGAAGAAGAAGAAGAAG